CGGGTTGACGCTTGGTGCCGTCCGCTGCTCCTTGCTGCTTCCGCGACAGCTGCGCTCCGAGGCGAAGAATCATTCATGAGGGATGCTGGGATGAAAGATCTGGGGAAGACTAGGTCCAACGGTTCACATTATAGAGATTATACATGTACGTGTGATTAAATCCTCCGCATTTCAACATACGGGAGTTGTTGGGTTGTTCATCGTCGTTCATGCTCAAAAGATCGTATGTATCCATTTTGGTCAGATGTTACTGTCTACGGAAGAGTCAAAGCCATCGACAACTAAGGGCCACTTTGCAGGCGCTGAAGCTGTATGGGATCGCAAACCTCTAAATCCATATTTTGGACGGCCCAGCGTTGAATTTCTCCGGCTTGGTCCTTCAACGCCTCGTGGATCGCACAATACAATTTTCGTCGGCGCCGACGACGCTCCACCGTCAGAACTTCTGGGCTAAAGCGACACGTGAAATACAGGTCGATCAACACGACGCTGCGAGCACCAGGCGAGCCTGTGACGATGATATTGCGGGGATTCGCGTCGTTGTGACACCATCCGTCGGCCATAAACTTGGTGAGGGTATCGATGGAGAGCCTCAGCTGCGAAAGTCGTGAGGAGTAAGTTTACAGAGGCGACATGACGTACCAGGTCGCAGGTATCCGAAAATGATCTTGTGGGCGATCGAATATACGCAACGAAATCTTCGCCGTGGATGTATTCAAGGACCAGAACCCATGCAGCCTCGCCTGACGGCGTAATTATCTATATGTGTACGGGTGAGAGGTCCACAGGAACTTCAAATCAAGTAACGCACAGTCTGGAGCCCGAAGAAGTAGGGGATGTATAGGCCTTGTTTAGTAGCCAGTCGGTTGTACACCCAAGCTTCTCCGTGCGCTAGGTTCTCCGGAAACTCGTAATTTCTATACCAGGCATCGTTGAGCTCTGGATACATGCACATCGAGGGCTGAATAATTTTGAGGACAACAGTGGTCCGCACCCCAGTCAACTCTGTAACGGCTGTCCATACTTGAGAATGTTTATCGGGTCCAGACTGCAGGGGTTGGTCGAGGTAAAAGGATACGGGTGTTTGGGGAGGGAAACGCGGCGGACTCCGAGCCCTTGGAAGAGGATTGGGTGCAGGGATGGTCAAGTCGAAACTGAAGCACAGACCCGCGGTCAGTCCATAGAGCTGCGCCAAGCGTCGGTCCGCCTCCAGTTTGCGGTGGTATTCAGCAACAACCTTACGGTCAGATAGGTCCAAAGGCGGGTCGGGCCTTGGGTAGAACTCGGGCATGGATGAAAAAGACAGGGGCAACGGATTGATCGCATCGGTCAATTTCACTGCCACAAGTCCGAATCCGGAAATTCATTTCAACCACGACACCAATTCGGAATTGAGCAGTGGCCATCGAAAGTGGAGCCATTGAAAAATGGAAGGGTATCATGCCCAAGGGTTAGAGTCGCCTCGATATCAGTGTAGTACCCACGGGCTATGTTGCTTTGAAAGATCACCCGCTAAGACGGATGGCGGATAGCAGCCAAGTCTATAATAAGTACAGTACGATTACTATGGGACGAGATTTGAGAGCCGTAAACACGTTATCACGCAAGTATGTACAGTCAAAGCTGTCTTAACCCATAGTTGTCATAACCCATAATCTGTGAAACCCCATTATTAGAGCGTATTTGCAACACCCTCGACGCAGTTTTAGGGCGAAATTTGATGAGACCTGTCAGAAATTTGATGACACCAAAATAGGATACCTTCGACTTGTAAAGTCTGCCAAAAGGCGTTAAAAAATGCTAGATAACCCGGATTTTTTTGTGTAGACACACCACAATAGTCTCAAAGGCACTGGCCACTTTCAGGAGAGAAATTATACGGCGAAAATTGGTTTTGGCTGCTGGAAGGAGGGTTACGGCACATCCATCATTTCTCGAACCTAAAAATGATGGTCGATGCCCGAAATTTGACGGTCGATTTTGGGGGGTGCAAATACGCTCTAATTTTTTGCATCCTCCATCTGGAAAACGGTTTTAATGTGATAGATGCCTGCCCGCGTGATAGCCGTGGCGGTGTCCCGGTAGGCACCGATAGGACGGGATCATCCGCATAGACCTTGATAGACCTCAACCGTCTACAAAGAATCTCAAGGGCTACTTGCCATCGGTTGCTCTTCGTCGTCGCTGGTAGGCGTCCACATTGCACATGTACCGTTGCTGATGGATACGCAGACGTCACTTATATATCGGACTTGATGAAAATGCACCTCGCTCTCTCTTCCTTCCCACTTCCACACCCTCGAGCTTTAAGTCCCAGAATTGTCTCAGCCTCTTGGCCCCTCAAGCTCGCCCTCAGGCTGCCAAGCCCGTGTGTTGTCAAGGCTCCAAAACCCCAAGATCTCTTCAAGTTTCCTCCCTCAAGCCTTGCTCAAGCCCACTTCAAATCTCCAAATCCCAAGACTATCCGCTGGCCTTGTACTCGCTGCGACAGCGCACTTGCAAGACTTTTCTGATCTCTCTGATGCCCCGGGTTCCGACGGTCTTCTTTTCCGGTCTGCTGCGCTCTGGGAACTCATAAGTAGGGTTAATCTTGCCATTTTTTTGCTATACTGGCCCGTCGTCCTTACATGCTCATGTTGTTTCCTAATATCATTTGTTCTCCCACTATCCGGTGCCCAGAATGAGCCTGAATGAGCCTAGCGACAGCATCTGATAACCGAATCAACAACCTGATCCGGCTGTACCTGCACGTGAAAGGTGAATCTACCGAGATTTGCGTAGTCTACCAGGTGCCTATGATAGAGATCCCTAGGCTTTTGACATCTATCATAGAAGGGGGGGGTGCCTACCGCTCTATGGCTCTATAGGAGCCTATCCTGGCCTATCCTGGCACTGGCTGTTTTCCAGAATCCAGATGTGGTTCCCACCCAAAAAGCTAAAAAAAACCATAAATCTGTGATACTCCATATCCCATACATTTTTTAGGGCAAAACCCCATACTTTTGATGTAATTACAGGGCATTTCCATGGCAATTATTGGCTCATCTGGTCAAAATTATGTCCCAGAATTGGCAGGGAATGTGCTGGGTTGCCGAGAGGGACATTTCAACTAAGATCAACTAAAATGATTGACTTTCCAAAATGGAATATAAGGGTTTCCTCGTCGGAGGTACGCATTCAGTCGGATGAAAAAGGTCTCAATAGATTAATTCAGTGTAAATAGCATGGTCATGGGCATATAGGGATAGTTTTGCGATTATTTTTGCCCTGCAACGGGGTTCTCGGATGTGCCCGGGTTTTGCCGATAGCATTCCCAGGGCTTTTGAAACCCATACACTGTGATAACCCATACCTTTTGGTGTCCACCGAGGGGTATGGGTTAAGACAGCTTCGACTGTATACTGAGGCGCGCTCTTCCGTTCTCTCCGAGTCATCCTTTCTGCGTTTCTTTCTATCCCGCCCTACCTTCAGTTATCAAGTAAAACCGATCACGGCTCAGCCTCCACAACTTCCTCGTTACAGTAGAGTAGGCTAGAGTAGGTCGTCTATAATATAATGGCAAAGCTATAGAACTTTCTGATGTTCCATTTTCCCACTCTCGCCGCCAACACCGAGCGCCTAATAAGCGCCCGCCCATAGGCATCTCGGACATGCGACAACACATAAGTTTTATTGTACTTAGCAAGGTACAGTGAGACAGCCTTTATTGTGAAACAACCTTGGCTGGGCAAACATGTTTACTGTGACATCCAACAACCTTTACTGTGCAGGAGTACTTGCCATGAAACAAGCTTTACTGGGAAACAACCAAAGGGAAAATTAATGGGAATGGACCAAGTATCTGTGACAAATGCAACATACAAGTCAGTGGATTTATTCATGGGTACACCAAGCACCTAATAAGTGCACAGTCACGCGAGCAGCCGTGCGACGCGACTTGACTTGGTTGCAACTAGACCAAGAGTCTGGAATTGATTCAAAAATTGGCTGTGAGCAGGGGGAAACAACCTTCACTGTGTTACTGGGCAAACAGTATTTTACCGAGAAACATCCTTTACTAGGAAACAACCTGTGATGGGAAAACAAGCTTGTCCAGCGAGGACAAAAATTCTGTTTACTATGGAATCTAGGGTCTTGTTTATTATTCCCCGAGGATTATAAACCTGTTTTTAATTCTCGTTTATAAACAGCCTGTTTATAAACGTGTTTATAAATGGCTCACCAAACTTGCTCCAAAGTGGTCGGGGAGTTGGTTCAGGGCAGATTTTTTTCGCTCCCGGCTGACATGGCGGCCCCAGTGAGGGTGCCTGTTTTCCCCCTGTGCTGTAAATGACGGATAATGAGAAGAGAGGAAATACTGTACCATTTCGACCGTAGGTTCAGGTGACGGTGACGGGGGGTCGTGAACTGAACCTATTTGGGACAGGTGACGGTGACAATGAATTTTTGTGGCCCAAATAGGCTAAAAAATGTGAAAATTTATCCTCCGCCAGTTGCTGGATTACCATAAATGGCAATTTTACCGTGATTGCCGAAGATTGAACATGTTATAAAATGAACATGTCCGGTGACGGGTGACATACCATGAACCTACGGTTGAAATGGTACAGTATTAGGTTCACATGTTGTAGGATTAGTCATCATCTGGGTTTTCTCTGCTTCCTCCCATCCTGCTGCAAGCCCCATCGACTTATCTCCGACCTCGAGAGTCCCAGGACCTCTCCAACGGGTAGTGACTAGTATGGAATATTATAACCTGAATGGAATCGCTTTTTCAAAGTACCAAATCAGCTTTCTCACCCAAAACTCAAGGTCGTATGGAATAACGGCGATATGGAATGGGCTTTGGGCACATCCCAACCATATTCCATGTGAGGGATTCAACTGTACCTACTCAAAATTGTGGACTCAGTGCATTTTTTTCGTTTTTTTTTCGGTCTTTTCGCATCCTTCTGTCAAGTCAGACTACACATCCTCTCCTAGTTCAGGTCTGCTTACAATCCGAATTGGTGTAGTGGTTAACATTGCCGCCTCTCACCCTATGCGACTTACGTAATATGACCATGTGACGTTCGCGGCAGCCAGGGGTTCGATTCCCCTATTCGGAATTATTTTGTAGTTCCAAGACAATTTTTTTCTTCAGCCATCCACTTTGTGCTGAAGAACACACTTGTCCTTGGGCAAGTTACCCAGCTAAGGGTTCCATCTCCTGAGCATTAGATCATCTGTCTGGCATTGAAATAAATGCAGAGAGGCTGTGCTGGAACCATCTTTATCTTCCATTCCCACGGTTCAATTTAGGTCTCCAACCTCTGCAGTTCCTCCACCAGATTCTCTTTCTGTCAAATTGAAAAGTGTGACTAAACAAACAGATGCTGCTGCCCGAGCACAGCCACTGGCAGAGCTCATCAGCGGTCTTGACTGGAACCAGGTCCATGTCCATCATGTTGTTGTTGTTGTGCAGATGCACCAAGTTGAAGGTGGGCTGGACCGGAATGGCAATAAGTTGAGCAGGGGGAGGCGACGAACAGTGTTTAATTGGTCAAACCGCAGAGGGCGCGGAGAAAAGCGACCCGAAACGCGAGAACTTGTGGGTCCCGCCAGATGGAACGGGAAGATGTTCTCGATGCTTCTCATCTTCGTCCTTGATGAGCTCGTCGTGCGTCTTGAGGTCGCGTAATCTGCTCGAAATCTGACATTTGCGGCAGCGAGGCGTTCGACTCCCCTTCTCGGAATCTTTTTTTACTCGCCACTTTGCTGACCACTTTGAAATAAAAGCATGGGTTCAACATTTGATACGTCCTTCTCTGATATCTTGATGACTTTGACCAAATGCCGGTAGTATCTCAGGCAGAACCAGGGAGAGAGAAAGACAGCAGCTTCTATCAGATTGCCTGACTCAAAAACGCAAACAGCTGATGGCCAGACTTCTGACCATCATTCACTACCAAAACCTTCAACATGCAAAGAGACGCTCGGCCCCCCGCGCAGCACATCCACAAATCGGGAAGACCCGCCTCCTAATGCATAGCGCACGCTTTGCGCAAGCTCGGTCGTCCCACATACTGCACTCGGATAAATATAATAAAGAAGCGCAAAGAAATGCGGGAGCCACGCACCATTGACGCTGACCGCCCCACAAGCTGCCTCAATTTCCGTCTGGAGTATTGTCTTGATATCGGGACGCCCCCGCAGGAAATGCACGCCGGGAATCGCGAGCAAATCACGCCTACGGGTCGACACCATTTTCTCAGCGCCCGCGATCTCGGGGTCCGAATCCGAGGCTGCAGTCCCACCGGCGAGTTCAGGGTCGACCGTGGAACCCTCGCCTTCCATTGACTGCGTGTCTTCCGGCGCGGCGGTAATATGTAGCCTGATGTCGATGTCGAGGACCTTCAGATTTTCACCAGAGTGAAGGCCAAGTAATGTGTCTGTCATCGCGCCTGCGATCCAATTGACCTGGTCTACGTGAAACCGTGAGGAAAGCATCCTCTTTGTAGAAAGGAAACTAACCAGGGTCGCGAATCGCCCACACGAAAACAATTCGGGTGCACTTGGGGTTCGCGTTAACGCGCGCCGCCCTGTTGAATCCACAATTACAATTTCAGCGTGATTTTTGTTTCAAGCGGAAATGCACACTGCACGAGATCCAGAAACAAGGGTAGCATAAATGAAACCCCCGAGCCACCTAAAAAGATGTCAACTTTTGTTCGTGACTTGAACACGCGAAAAGAACCTACCACATATAAGCACAACCGTCTCGAATCCTTTCAAAATTGGCGGCGAACTGTAAGGTCCGTCAATGAGCGCTTTGAAACTTTTACTAACGCCGGTCGGATCGGGATTGCCGGCGACGGAGTCAAGCAATCGCCTCGTAAACCCCTCGCGAACACGGAGAATGAACATCAGCCGCTGGTGGTCGTCGGATCCCGGGCTGGCGACCTTATCCGTTTCACCGCTCGGAACCTTCTCTCTGTCGGACTTGGTCGTCACCGCATCCTCCGAAATGGAGTCCCCTTCCTCGAGTGCCTCGCGACGCACCTCGAATGGTGCGTTCGCGATTGTGAACGGATGCGCCTCTGTAAGCGAAGTCTTGTATGCACTAAGTATGGTGATGTACGCGCTCTGTCCTGCGCGCCAGCGGAGATACGGCGGGGCGTCGACGAGGACGCGGAGGAAGTGGGGTGAGAGGATCGTCACTTTGGCGTCCGAGGCGACCTTGCGTTGGTCCTCTTTGAACAGTTGTGAATTGACAAACACGATGCGGGCAAAGCGAAGGGTACGATCGAGGCCCCAGAGGAAGAGTGCTGGCCAGATGTAGACTTGATAGCTGGAATATGACCCGTGAGATATCACTTTTGCGACGGAGACACAAAAATCACCCAAAGTGAGCCGCATGCACATAGGCGCCGGCGAGCGTGGTCACTCCAAATGCGAGGTGGACATACATAAAGACCTCATAGTTGCGCGACCGGAGAGGGCGGATGGACAAAAAACAAAGAAGCGTGAGGGCGGAGGCGCCCATCACACCATATCTGAACCAGGATTGCGAGGAGTCATCCGCGAGACTACAGGAGCTCGATCAGCAAACTGTTCCTAGAACTGAAACGACATAGATACCCGAGGTAGATCTGGAATCATTGGAGGCGAATGAGCGAATGAGAGGAGAGAAGGAAGTGGACTCACCCGGCCGAAGCCATGCACCCATAGCATGACACAGATCACCCGAGCCGTCGTACGATGCAGATGCTCGAGCTGCAGCAGGGAGTATCAGGATATGGTACGGTACGGTGCGAGTTAAAACGCGCCTTGTCGAAGCTAACACCCGTGAGGACTGAGAAAGGTCGATGAGATTCAGGGGAGGTATCCATACTGGCTCGGAACACGCACAGGAAACAAAGTTGTTCTTCATTCCCAAAGCGGTCATCAATGGTAGCTGTGAGCCGGCGATATGCGCACAACGGTTGGCCCAATACTTTGGATCGTACTTTTGGCCCAAACTGTTTTTCGCTGCCGTGGAACGTCAGTGTAATATTTCGAAGCCATAAAGAAGAACTCACAGTTGATGAATGTCCACGTAAACAAAACGGCGATATACATCGTTGCGAGGAGAACGTCCGCAACGCTGAGTGTATATCCGCCTGCTAGAGTGATCGACCACCTGAATGTCATCGTCCGGGAGAGATTGAGAATGGCAAGGGGCAGCCGGCGCCACGATGCTCCGTGCCTCCGAGGAACGCCCTTCTCTCGCGGGGCATCTTGACGAGTCCAGTAGCCGTGTAGAGTCGAGACAAAGTGCCAAGCGGAGACGAGAGCGATGAAGACAGCCAAAAAGTACCAGACTTGCTTCGGGTACAAGTTAGCCAGGGCGATGCGCGGGATGCGGTCGGGGTCGACGGTTTTCAAGGATCGGAATGGGGGCTCCATTGTGGGATTGGCTTGGCCATGCTGGCAGAGAACCGGCTTATAGATGGTGATTTTTTGGCAAGGCCCAATGGGATAATTATCCTTGGTAGCGCGAGGGAACAACGTACTTCTTATCAGATTACCGATGCAAGATGACGGCAAGACTCCATTCCAGTTTTTCGACCTTTGTTCTAGCGGGGCAACACAGCAGTACCAAAAATTGCTAGAAGAAATAGAATGGCGTTCAACATAAATTGGAATAGACAAGAACGAGCACAGACTTCAGTGCTGAGGCAGACAAGGCCTCGAAAGATTTGGAGATCACTTTTATCAGATTGTCGCGATAAGATTTGATAAGATAAGAGCATGTGTCTGATCTCCTTGGCAATCTTCGAGCGAGTCCGAGGAAGCACCCAAGCACAGGCGGTACAGAGAGCAGCAGGTTGCGGATGGAGCGAGTCCCGACTGACGGATAGGGAGGAAGCAAAAGCCCGCGGAGGACCGGATTTTACCGGAGTGTAGGGCGATTCACATTCAAGGAAATTTGTATGGTAGCTCCAACTCGCAAGGCCAGGGCGCAAGGAGATGATAGATACACGGAGCCAGGGAACGAGATTCCGGGTTAATAGGTTCCGCCAGACCTGCTGTCACCGCGATTCTGGAGCGTTACAAAAAGTCGTGTCAGAGATTAGATCCATGTGGGTAAAGCTGTTCCAATACTTGTGTTGGGTTTCCAAACAGGACCATCGTTATCACGCACCTACTTGGATAGAGGACAGAGCCAAAAGGCGGGCGCGGCTATTACACCATTTCAAATGAGGCGACAGGTCGATTGGAGCAAACTCTACGCAAGGAGAGAAAGGAGCTGTGGTCGTATCGGAGTGAGAGCTGTTAGGTCTTGGTTCCATATTTTCAACTGCTTTACTTACATCCCAGCAGCATAATCCATCGAGGAGCGGGACCGTGGCGTGTACTGGACAGCGGCGCTACGGCGCTGCCGCAATATTCGGGCCCCGTCGTCTTAAATTTGCGTCGTCCATCATCTTTTCTTTGCTTCTCCTGGGATTCGTGGTCGCAGGTTCCGGCGGCACTTTTCTGGCTCGGTTTCGTTCGGGGTGCTAGTACTAGTAGTAGGTTCGGAAGAAGCCGTTCTCTTATAGCCGGGCTTGCCGGCGTGTCAGGCTTGCTCCGAACCTCACCAATGGTGCCTCGGAGTCAACATTGATTGTGCGCACCGCGCAGCGTGCGCTCCATGGATCATCCGAATCAGCACCACTGGTATTTAAAGAATCGTGAATTCGGCGGATCAGCGCATGCGCACCGATCGTTCCGTCGGTCAAGACGCGCCATTCGGTTGGAAAAAATGATGCCTACTCCGCGGTAGATACTCGTCGCACACGCATCGACCCTAGATATTGAATTTAGATCTCGTGCGCGTCTCACAGGCACGGCGCATCTCCAGCATCTACTCACTCTGCCTTTCGTGTCTCAGTCTGTTCTCAAACGAGGCTTTCCTCGACAAATACTGTGACCCAGGTATACTGCAGGCGAACTGAAGCTGAGTATATTTCCAGCCCTGGTGCGATGGTCCGTGATCCGACGCGAGTTATCGGCATGCCTGTCCCTTAAGCCAGCCAAAATATCTAGTGGGAAATAAGTGTTTCGAAAATAAAAGGTACCGCCGAAACTCAGATAATGTGTC